ATAATGTGGAGAAAAATCAGTCAACTGAAACCAACCCAGAAATGACACAGATGTTAGAATTAGCAGAAAGAGACATGAAAAGTTTTATAACTGTATTCCATATGTTCAAAAAATTAAGTAGAGACATGAAAGATTAAAGAAAAGGACCCAAATCAAACTTCTAGAGATCAAATCTATAATGGATGAGGTGAAAAATACACTGGATAGGATTAATGGCGGGTTAGACAGAGAAAATGAAAAGATCAGTAAACTTGAAGATGTGGCAACAAAAATCATGTATTAGTTTTCTATTGCTGCTGTAACAAACTACCACACACTTAGTGGCTTGAACAACACAATTTATTATCTCATTGTTCTGTAGGTTAGAATCTGACATAGGTCTCAGTGAGCTCACATCAAGGTGTCAGCAGGGCTAAGTTCCTTTCTGGAGGGGGGAATCCATTCTCTTGACTTTTCCAGCATCTAGCAGCTACCTGCCTTCCTCAGCTCCTGGCCCCCTTCATCCATCTTCAAGGCCAAAAATGGTAGATCAAGGCCTTCTCCCACCACATCAGTCCTACCGTTATTGTTACATTTCTCTCTGACTCTCCTTCCTCTGTTTTAATAACTCTCGTGATTACATTGGGCCCATCCAGACAAGCCAGGATAATCTCCCTATGTTCAGAGCAAAGAATATTACTAGTGATAAAGAGGTCATATCATAGTAAAGGGGTCCATTCATCAAGAAGACATAATCCTCAATATTTGCTCTCCTAATAACAGGGCTTTAGATTAGGTGAAGCAAAAACTGATAGAAATGCAAGGAGAAATAGACAAATCTACACTTATCATTGGAGATTTCAATAATCTCTCAATAGCTGATAGAACAAGTAGACAGAAAATCAGTAAGACTGTAGAAAATTTGAACAACTCTATCACCCACTAGACCTACTTTAGAAAACACTCCGTGTAACCAAAGCAGAATAATTTTTCTCAGTGCACACAGAACACTTACCAAGATAGACCATATCCTAGGCCAAAAGCAAGTCTTAATAAATTTAAAAGGCTTCAAATCATACCACATATGTTTTCTGGCCACAGTGGAATTAAATTAGAAATCAAAAACAGAAAGACTTTTGGAAAATTTTGGAAAATTCCCCCAAGTTTAGAAACTAACACAATTCTGAATATCCTATAGGTCAAAGAAGAAATCCAGAGTGAAATTAGAACAGCTTTTGAGCTGAATTAAAATGAAAATACAACATACCAAAATATGGGGGAATGCCCTAAAGCAGGACTTTTAGGGGACAATTCTAGACTAAACACTTTAAGAAACTAGAAAAAGACCAAATTAAATCCTAGTTAAGCATATGAAAAGAAATCATAAAGATCAGAGTGGAAATCAATGAAATAGAACACAAGCTGGCAAACCGTGACCTGTGGCTGGCCCCCTCTGTTTGTAAATGAAGTTTTACACAAACACAGCCTTGCTCTTTCATTTGCATATCGCCTGTGGCTGCTTTCCGGCTGCAACAGCAGAGTGGGTAGTTGTGGCAGAGACCATATGGCCTGAAAACCTAACATATTCACTCTCTAGCCCTTTAAAAAATTTTTGCTAACCAGAAAAACAATAAAAAGCTGGTTTTTTGTGATTATTAAAGTTGGTAAGCCTCTAGCAAGGACAGATCAGGGAAAGAAGAGAGAAGGCATAAATTACCAAAATCAGAAATGAGAGAGGTGACATCACTATAGATTCTTCATCTATTAAAAGGATGATAAGAAAATATTACAAACAACTTTACGCCAATAAATTTGACAAGTAGGTGAAAGAGACAAATTCTTTGAAAGACACAAACTACCAAAGCTCACTAAAGAAGAAATAGACATATATATTAAAGAAATTTGAATTTGTTATTCAAAACCTTCCTACAAAGAAAACTCCAGGCCTAGGTGGGTTCACTGGTGAATTCTACCAAATATTTAAGGAAGGAATAATAGCAATTCCACACAAACTCTTCTAAAAATATTGAAAAGGAGGGAATACTTACCAACTTATTCTGTGAGGCCAGCATTACCCTGATTCGAAGACCAGACAAAGACATTATAGGAGGAGAAAACTGTAGACCAGTATCCTTCATGAATAGAGATGAAAAATTCTCAACAAAATTTTAGCAAGTTGAATCCAACAATACATAAGAAGGATACTACGTCATAGCCAAGTGGAATTTATCCCAGAAATGCAAGGTTGGTTTAGTATTTGAAAATCCATCAACATAGTTCATCATATTAACAAACCAAAAAAAAAAAAAAAAAAAAGTCAGGTGATAATCTCGACAGATACAGAAAAAGCATTTGACAAAATCCATTTCTGATAAAAACCCTCAGCAAACTGGGAATAGAAGAGAACGTCCTCAGCCCGAGAACGGACATCTACAAAAAACCTACAGCAGGTATACTTAACAGTGAAAAACTGAATTCTTTTGCCCCAAGATCAAGAACAAGACGAAGATGTCCGCTCTCACCACTTCTGTTCAACCTTGTATTTGAGGCTCTAGTCAGTGCAACTGATGAGAAAAGAAAGAACAGTCACCCAGATTGGAACAGAAGAAGTAAAACGGTGTTTATTTGCAGACGGCATGATTGCCTATGTAAATGCACCAGCAAGTCAGTGGAGAAAGGATAGTCTGTCCAACAAATGGTGCTGGAACAACTGGGCATCCATATGCAAAAGGAGGAACTTCTATCTACACCTTGCATCATATCCAAAAGCTCACTCATAGACCTAAATGTAAATCCTGAAACTATGAAACTTCTAAAAGAAAAGCTAGGAGAAAACTTTTATGACTTTGGGGTAAGCAGAGATTTCTTAGATAGAACACCAGAAGCACGCTCAATAAAAGAAAAAAATCGATAAATTGGGCTTCAGCAAGATTAAAGACTTCTGGAAATTAAAAACAGTGGAAATATGCTGTTAAGAGAATGAAGAGCAAAGGCACAGACTTGCAAAGCATATATCTGATACAGGGCTTGTATCCAGAATAAGTAAAAAACTCTCAAACTCAATATGAAAAAAATGAACACCCCATTTCAGAGATGAACACAAGGTTTCAACAGATATTTCACCGAGAAGATACGCAGATGGCAATTAAGTACGTAAAAAGATGTCCAACGTCGTTAGTCGTTTGGGAAATGCAAAGTGAAACACAGTGCTGTCCCCTTGCCCACCCACTGGAATGGCTAAGGTAAAAAGACTGACCCCACCAAGTGTTGGCGAGGAAGAGGAGGAGCTGGAACCCTCAGACGCTCCCGCTGGGGATGCAACGTGGTGCAAACACCTTGGAAAACAGTTTGAGGCAGTTTCTTAAGGAGTTAAACATAATATATAAAAGTATACGTACATGAAAATACTAAAAAGCTCAACGTACAGGCTCAGAGCCCCAGGAGGGCAGGACTAGGCAGGGGCACAGCTGGACGTGAGGGCGTCCGCCAGCCTCTGGGCATGGCGGATCCAAGTTTGGTGGGAAACTTATATGCAGCTTATATGACTTGAGGGGCCCCTCTTTAGAAAAAAGAATTCAAAAATGAGAAATTCATACTAGGTACAGAAGTGAGTATTTAGGACAAACGAGTATCTATGACAAATTCTTGGAGCCAGGGGTCGCCAGGTCTCTTCTGAGTCATCTTGAGATTCAAGAAAGCTTACCCAGAGAAGCTTCTTGGTGGCATCTGGCTTCCTCTGCCCACCTGTAGCACTCAGGGATCCCAGCCTGAGAGCCCTTGTGGTCTGGGGCCCTAAGGATGCAGAGCCACTGTCCTGCTTGGTGGCAGTGCCCACACCCCGTGAATGATCACGGCAGCCGAGCCAGCCTTTGCTGTCAGCAGCCCCATGCCCCCTTTCTCCCAGTAGCCACGTGGGCCCAAAGGAGCAGGGCTGTGTGTGTAGCGAGGGACTCCACAAGGGCCTGCAGTCTTGTCTCCTTGCTCTCCATGCGCCAGCCTGCCGAGCCTCCTCAGTTTCAGTGGCCTTGCTGTGACCACTGTCAGATGGACCAGCCTCGTTTGTGGGGGTGATGGGAGTGTGGAATGGTCAGAGCCCAGATGAAAGACTTCTAAGAGGGCAGGTGTGTCTGTCAGCTTTGTTCATTTAAGCATCACCAGCTTCTAGAAGAGTCCCAGGCAGGTACCAGGCACTCAGTAAGCACTTGTTCCTGTCGGGTCTCCATGGCTGGGCTGCGGGTCTGGGTCCCACAGTTGTCCCTCACTGCCGTCCCACCCCCCTGGGAACACGGGTCCCTGGGCCCACAGCCCACCAGCAGATGGCCCTGGTTAGGGTCTGAAGCTATGGGACCTTAGGCAAGGACGTAGGTGAATTACATATTAAGGGATGTTGGGAGGGGGGAGTAAAGACAAGATCATTCTTGAAAATCCCTTAAGTTGCCTATAAAGTTCAGTATAAATGGTTTTATGTACATCCCAAAGATTAATTCAGCGTCTAGCTGTGAACGGGGACAGGTGGAGAATTCTGGAGCATTTGCTCCATCCTGGTTTAATATCAAGCCTCTGTAACATGAATACCTATGGAGAATGGGCTCTCGTCTCTAGGCTGGGGAGGGCAGGCTGCAAGGTCAGATCCTGAGTTAAAAACCCGGTGACATTGAACTGTACCCTCAAGATGTATCGATTGAAAACAAAACACACAGCGGGGCTACCCTGGGTACCAAACTTCTCCGAGCTGGCCTCAGATCTGCATGCCATGGTTCTCCTAGTGCCCCAGGATGCTTTTAATGATTTCTGTTTTGATACAGAAAAAAGAAAGCAAGACTAAGGGAGAAAAGAGAAAACCAGGAAGGGCCCAAAGACAGACGTGCGTGGTGTGAGGGGTGGGCTGCAAAGATAGAACCAAACAGCAGGCTGTGGCCTCTCACTGGGCAGGGGCGCGGCGGGGAGCCCCTGGGGTGGGGTGGGCCTGGCCGGAGGCCGACCGGGAACCCACAGTAAGCCTGTGTCTCCCTGTCTTGCAGGTGGTACCGGGGAGCGGGAGAAGGTGCCGGCCAGCCCCGAGGCGCTGCTGCTCATGGCCAGCTCCCAGCGTGACATGGAGGACTGGGTGCAGGCCATCCGCCGGGTCATCTGGGCCCCGTTTGGCGGAGGTACTGCCCGTAGCTCGCATGCTCACCCTCTAGAACCCTTGCCTTCAGGTAATCATGCCCTCTGCCCCCCACTGAGCCGCACGACCCCTCTCCCTCGAGACTCACTGGCCGTGTCCCCTGCTGCTTCCCGCAGGCTGGCAGTATCATCCTCGTCACCTGCCAGCCCTCCAGGTCCCCAAGCAGACCCTGGCAGAGGCATCGGGGCTTTTCAAAAATATGCCCTCCTCCCACGAGAGTCCTGTCGTCTCTGTGTACTTGCCTCCCTGCGTCCAGACCCCTGCTGGACACTGGGTGTGTGCGAGGTGGTCTGCACAGTGGCCACACATGGGCCACATGCTCTAGGGGGTCATATCAGTCCTCTGGAGACCATGTCCCACCCTCTGCTGTGCCTTGCCACAGCCCTGCCTGCAGAACCCACGCCCGGTCCCTGATCAGAAAGAACGGTTGCTGTTTACTCACTTCTGCTTTATTCGAAGCACTTACTGGGCGCCTAAAGTGTACCAGCTTGTATCCCAGGTGCGAGGAATTCAGTGGTAAACAAAAGAGGATGCCTAGGCCTCCCCTCCATTGTCCTGTGGGAGACAAGAGAGGCAAGTAAAGGTGTCACGTGATGTCCAGTAGTGAGAAACCAGTCATGGGAGCCAGGGGAATGCTGGGAAGAGCAGCAGGCAAAGGGACCAGCAGGTGCAAAGGCTCTGAGGTGGGGATGAGTGATGGGAACATGAGGAATCTCAGGAAGGCCAGTGTCTCTAAGGGATTGAGGACAGGAGAGTGGAGGAGCTGAGGTGAGAGCAGTCGCCGACATGGGGGCATTTCAGACTTTTTTCTAAATTTGTGGAGCACCAGGGAAGACCAAACAGGAGACAGACACAGTCTGACTTAGATTTATAAAAAGATCCTCTAGCCACCACGTGAGGGGTGGACCGTGGAGAGACAGGAGTGGACGCAGCAGGCTGGGGCAGTCGTGCAACAAGAGGTGAGGGGGTGGAAGCTGGCGTGGGGGTGGAGGAGGTGGTGGTGCAGAGTGGTCAGCTGCAGGCGTGTTCTGAAGGCAGAGCTGCTGGGCTTTGCTGACAGTGTAGACACGGGCGCCAGAGAAAGGAACGATGACTCGCAGCAGCGTGCGCGATTGCCATCTCTGTAGGTTGGTGTCCATGAGAAGTCATCATGAAAAGAGCTTTCAGGAGGGATCGCCATGCTGGTTGGGCCGGGGCCACCAAGTCCCTGTGGATAGTGGACACCAGGGACCTTCAGACTGGCCAAGTTCTGTCCACATGGCCGTGATGTCCTCCCTCTCCCCATGCAGTGTTGGACTGGCGTGTCTTCTAGGCAGGGGCAGGCCCTCAGCTCTGGGGGCTCAGAGCCCATTTCTGGATCCTGCCTGCCCCACAGGCTGCGTCCCTTCCGCCACCCCTCCCCTCGCCGGCTCTCCTGTCCCATTGCTGGCTGTGGCCCGCCTGACCACCCTTCGTAGAACCATAAATCCCTCATGTCCAAGGTCAATGTAACTTTGAAAGTCGGAATTTTCTCCTGGGCTTCATAAATGGCCTCACACTGTTAACCGTGGCCTCTCTACCCCTTGATGGTTGCAGCAGCTTTGACACACGGCCCCAACTTAATGGCCTTGGAAGACCCGAGCCCACCCAGGGATTTCTGCAGCCTCCAAGGGCTTCCTTTGGTGCAAGGTGTTGGCAGGTGAAGCGACGGAACAGAACAGAGCCCGGAGCAGGCTCCCATGCAGCTGGACTCTAGTTTATGACAGGTGGCACCTTGAGCACCGGGGAATGGAGAACATCATCGACATCTTGGGGTGGAGAAAGATGCCTTAAATGAGTTGCAAAAAGCACTCATCTTTTAGGAAAAGATTGATACAGTTGTACTACAGAAAATGAAGAGCATCTGTTCTTTAAAGGGTAGATTAAGAAAATGAAAAGACAAGCTATAGATTGGAGAAAGTCTTTGGATCATGTAGAACCATTAAAAGACTGCCTCCTCAAACTCCCACAGATCAGGAAGGCAAAGACAGACAGACCAGGAGAAACATGGGCCAGAGCCTTCAACAGGCACTTTGCCAAAGAAGAAATGCTCAGCGAACATGGGCAGTGGTGTTCAATATGATTAGGAATCAGGGGAATGCAAATTAAATCACAACGCAATACTTCTATTCACCCACCAGCATGACTAAATGAAACGACCGATAGTTCCAAGTGGTGACAAGGATAGAGGGCTACAGACACGTGCATATATGGCCGGGGAAGTTGTTTGACGGTATCTGCAAAAGTCGATGCTGTGTCCCAGCTGTCTCCAGATAGAAACGTGCGCACAGGTACGCCAGAGGACTCATTCCTGTCGGATGTTCACAGCAGCCTTATTTACGATGGCCTGACACTAACCAAGCATTTAGCAATGGATAAATAAATACGATTCATTCGTGCAACAGAAAACTCTACGACAGTGAGAATGAATTAACCACAGCTCACCCAACAGCATGCACGATTCCTAAAAACATATTGTGGGACTAGGGTAGCCCAATAAAATGCTAGATGATTTCATTTATATAAAGTTGAGGAACGGGGCAGAAGGAAACTATATTCCTTATGGATGGATAATTAGGCAGCAGAAATATAAAGACAAGCGAAGAAATGAAGGCCATGAAAATCAGGGCTGTAGTCACAGTTACACGGGTGTTTGTTTTACAGTAAGGAGTTCATCTGTACGTATGGGCCTTAAGTACTTTTCTGGATGTGTGCATATGTCACTATATAAAAGATAAAAAATAAATAAAAGAAAGAAGAGAAACTAAAGGTCAAAGAAGCTAAGTACTTTGCCCAAACTGGCACAGCTAGTCAGGGAGCCAAGCTGAGAAACACAGGCGGTTGTTCTGATCCCAAAGGCCGCGCTTTGTCCCAGCCCCTGCAGGGCACTGTCGCACGCAGTCTGTCTGCACTCAGTAAGCTGGCCCACACATCCATCTGTGTCTCCCTCCCACCCTCCCTCCAGCATCCCAGGTAGAACTTAGCTTCGCCCCTCCCCCGGGCCCCCCCAGCATTTATCGAACTTCTCAGGCTGTGTGCTGAGGAACTTGCAGGAATTAACACAGGAACCATCATCAAAGGCAAAAGGCTCTTATCTCCCTCCCACCAGAGGTGCAGAGGAAACACAGCCATTTGGGGTTAGCGGGGCAGGCGTGTCGGGGCAAGCCCAGGCACTCGCAGGTGGCTCTGCTGGCCGCTGCAGGGCTCCTGGCAACGCTGGTATTATCCGGGGTCCCCTGGAAAGGAGCCTTGGAGAATCCGTCCTTCTCTCACTGCTGAATAACGAGCCTGCCAGCACTTTCAGCCTTGTTTGTTCTGGCAGAGAGTAGGCCACCTCCGACAGACACGGCCGGGCAGCGTGCCCACTGCAGTCCCGGGGGAGCCCGCCATCCCCACAAAGAAAAAGGGCCAGGCCGGCCGTCAGGGAGCCTGCTGCTGATGGCCTGCCCAGGGATGGCCTGGCCAGAGGGCCTCTTGTCTGGGCATTCATTCATTCATTCATTGAGCCAGGCAGTCGTTCACTCAAGAATGTGTCCTAGGGCCTGGGTTGCAGCCGTGAGCAGGATGGACGAGGTCTCTGCCCTCATGGGGCGCACTTTCTAGTGGAGGAGATGAATCACAAACAAGATCGGTAAGCCCATCGTAGGGTAGGTGGTGATGAGCTCACTGGAGAAAGACAAGGGGGGCAGGGCAGCGGGAGTGATGGGGGTCCAAGGTAGTGACATTGGAGTCAAGGAGACGAAAGGGTGGATTACACAGATATCTGGGCCGGAGCAGAGCTGTCTGTGAAGGGGGAGGGCAAGCAGGTCAGAGAGGGAACCGGTGGTAGAGGGAGAGGGCCTTGTCTCCGTGATGACCGGCTTTTCCTCCCAGTGAGGTGTTCTCTTGGCGGGTTTTGAATAAAGCAGCAGAGCCTGACTCTGGTTCTAACAGGATCCCTCCGGCTGCAACGTTGAGAATAGATGAAAGAGGGCAAGGACGGAAACAGGAAGCCAGTTAGGAGCTCAGCAGACAGCAATGCAGGTGAGAGCTGAGGGCGGCTTGGCCCAGGCTGGGGTTGAGGATGAGAAGTAATTGAATTCTTGGTGTATTTTGAAGATAGAGCCAGTAGTGTTTCCCCACTGGAGTGGAAGGAAGGTGTATGAGGATGAGGGAAGTCATGGGTAATTCCAAGAGGTTTGATCTCAGCCCCTGGAAGGATGGGTTAGCCGTTAACGAACATGAGAAAGACTAGAGCAAGTGCACTTGCTTGGAAGGAAGACAGAGTTCCCTCTGGGGCTTGGTCTGAGATACCTGTTGGAGGCTCAAGCTTAGATGTCAAGCAGCCAGTCAGACATTTCAGTCCAGAGATTAGGGAGGGGACTGGGTTGGAGAGAGAATTTGGGGGCCATCGACATATAGATGGGGTTGAAGCCACGAGGCTGGATGGGGCACCACAGAGCACGTGCAGGGACAGCAGAGGACCAGGGCGAAGCCCCAAGCTGCTCCCCAGCAAGTGTCAGGGTGCAGAGGAGGAGCCAGCGCAGGGGGCTGAGAGGGAGAGCCAGTGAGGGAGGGGAGCAGGACAAGTGGGGCCTCTGAGCCGAGCGGAGAGAGCGTGTAAGGAAGAAGGGTAGTGATGAGCTGCGCGTGCACTGCCGAGGGGCCAACCAGAGGAGAATGGATGCTGAGTGCGGTTCACTGGTGACTTGCACTGGCTGGTTTTGAAGTGCTGGGGAGAAAGCCTGAAAATAGTATGTGAGAGGAGGGAAACTGGAGTATGGGGATGGCCAACCCTTTCAGGAAGTTTGCTGTCAAGAGAGAGAGAGAAATGGGACAGTAGCTGGATGGGGAGGTGGGGTAAGAGAGGGATTTGTTTATTTTTTTTTTAAGTTGGGAGACAAAACAGCAATGCAAAAGATTGAGAGAAAGAGAGTTGCTGGAGCACCAATATCTCTTGTGGATATAGATGCAAAAATTCCCCACAGAATACTAACAAATTGAATCCCGCAATGTATAAAAGGATTATAGACCGTGACCAAATGAGATTTATCCCAGGAATGCAAGGGTGGTTTAACATCTGAAATCACTTAATGTAACATCTCAGTAGAATAGAGGACAAGAACCACATGACCATCTCCATAGACTCAGAAAAGGCATTTGATAAAATCTGCACCTTTTGCTGATAAAAACACTCAGCAGTCTAGGGATAGAAAGAAACTTCCTTAACCTGCTAAAGGGCATCTACACACAACCGAGAGACAACATCACACTGGTAGAGAAAGACTGGATGCTTTTCCTCCAGGATGGGAAGAAGACAAGGATGCTTACTTTCACTGGCTCTATTCAACATTGTACTGGAGGTTCTAGCCAGAGCAATTAGACAAGAAAATGAAATAAACACATCCAGACTGGGAAGGAAGAAAGAAGTGATAGGATCTCTATTTGCAGATGACATGATCTCACATATAGAAAACCTTAAGAAATCCACTAGAAAACTACTAGAACTAGTAAAAAATTCAACAAGATTGCAGGAGACAAGGTCAGTATTCACAGCCAGTTGTATTTCCGTACAGTCTTTCAGTTGGCAACTTGCAAATGGAAGATGAAATTAGGCAGACTTCATCTAGCACAGCACCCAAAAGAATAAAAGGCTTAGGAATGAATTTAGCAAAGGAAGTACAAAACTTAATACTCTGAAAATTGACAAAACATTGTGGAAAGAAATTTAAAAAGACATAAGTAAATGGAAAGACATCCCATGTTCATGGACCAGAAGACTTGATATTCTGAAAAGCCTGCCAGCCCTGGAAGGTGGGTTTCATGTGCACGAGAAGGTGCATAACAAAGCCAGTTGCGTTGAAGTGTGAGAGGATTTTGAATAGAGTGAGCACAGGTTTCGCCACCAGCCTGTGGTCTGGGTGTGATATGGCTCTGCCCCTTGCTTGCTGTGTGATGCTGGGCACCCTACGTACCCATTCTGTGTCCTTGTTTGCAAAATAGGAATATGAATATCTTCTTTGCAGGACTGTCATGAGAATTAAGAGAGAAAATGGGTGCAGAGGGCTCAGTCCTCTCTCAGTACTAAACAGTCCTCATTCATTCAACAAACACTATGGAGCATGGGCCACGTGCAGGCAGGGCACACGGCAGGGCAGAAAAGAGAACAGCCAGAGCTGCCATCCTATTCCCCAAGACAGACAACAGCACGGAAAGTCAATTGCGAGGCGTGGAGCAGTGTTCTCAGACGTCCGCTGGCATCGGCATCCTGCAGAGGAAGGGTTGTAAGAGAGCCCGCTGGCTCCACGCATGGGGTGTCCAGCTCCTTCCGATGGGACCCTGGAATGTGTATTTCTCACCGTGAGTTCCCAGGTGCTGCTGCTGCCGCCACTGGGCTAGGCCTCACGTTTTGAGAACCACTGTGCTTTAGAAGGTGGTGAGCGTTCCTGGAAGAAAAACAGTAGAGCAGTTTGCAATATAGTAGTGAGGGCAGGCCCGATGAGAGAGGGACCTCCAGACCAAGGCTTGAAGAAGGAGAGAGGGAGCCAGGAGGAGGTCCGGTGGAGGCGTGCCGGGCCAGCAAAGGCAGAGAGCCTCTGATGTGGTCCTGAGCCAGCACAGAGGCAGGGGGTCTGGGGGGAGTGAGGGACCAGGTGAGGCGGGAAGAGCCGATGGAAGAGGCCTCGTGGGCCCTGTCGGGACTTGGGACTTTACTCCTTGGTGAAGGGGGAGGGGCACTGGAGGGCTTTGTTAAAAGGACCCTCTGACTGCTGACCAGAGAGGGACAGGAGGCGTGTCTACAGCGATCCAGGAGGAGACAGGGCGCTTTCACTGTTGGGTGGGGAGTCGAAAGTGGTCAGATTCCAAATGTGTTGTGAGAGGAGGACCCACAAGGTTGCTGGATGTGGGGGTGAGAGGGAGGGAGCAGTGAAGGGACTCCAGTGGGTCTGGCTGAGCAACCGAAGGACGGACTTGTCATTCACCAGGAGGGGAAGACTCAGCGCGGGGTGGGATGGGGGGTTGGAGACTATGGCCACACCGTAGCTCGGTCTGAACCCGAGTGGGTTGAGATGCCTGTTAGTCCGTGAACCAGCCCAGCTGCTGAGTGGGCAGCTGTGCAGGAGTCCAGGGGGCTGCGGGGCTGGGGTTCGCGCTCAGTAACTACCCTCCCTGCCAGCCCCGGCGCAGGCTGTTCGTCCCAGCCTGACACGCAGCAGCACGGAGCAGCCATCCCCGGCAAGGAGCCAGGCCTGGGAATGGTGTCCCAGAGTGACCGCCCTGTGCTGGGAGGGATGTGAAGGGCCAGGCCGCTGGCCTGCTGTTGTCCTCAGCGCCTTGCTGCCCCAGTCCGGGGGTGTGGCTCTCACAGGCTTCTGGACTTTCCTCTGACCCCCTGGAGTCAGCTCTCCTGCCCTCACGTTCCTAAGAAATCATGGGGGGAAGGAGGGCGGGGGGACGAATGCAGCTTCCAGAGGCCACAGGGCAGGACACTTGACATGGAGAAAACCCTAGCCTCGGGACAACTTGCAGGAACACAAAGCAACCTTGTCAGGCCAGCTGGGCGCTGTCATTGTTCACTGGCATGACATCTCCAAGCCCTCAAGCGACAGTCAGTTTCAGAAGGAAAGGTCCCTGGCCCCAGCCCGGGCTGCAGTGGTGGAGCCCGGGGTCCTAGGGGACCACTTCTCCCCAGTGCTGCTTGCTCCATATCCCAGCTCTTCTGGGAGATTCAAGAAGAGAGGGTCTTATTTCTAGATCCCCTGAAAGTTGACCTGCCAGGCTGGCAGGCCCAGGCCTTTCCCAGTGGCCCTTTCAAAAGAGGAGAGAAAGGGCTGTTGCTGACCTGGGCTGGGCTCTGGTCCCTATGCCAGCAGAAGGAGCCCTTGAGCCTGATTCTGGTGCCTTGGTGCATTCTCATGGGCCCTGAGGGTCCACATGCGGGTGGTGGAGGAGATGCCCCCAGGGGCCTTGGACCCTGTCCAGGCCCCAGGCTCACAGAGGGCACATCTGGCCTCTTTGGGACATCTGGGTCAGTTCACAGCACCCCTGGCGGGCCCCAAGGCTTCTCCCTGCAGTGCCCCATGAGCCTGTGAGCTTGGATCCCCAAGGCAAGGGAAATAGCTGCAGCCACAGACCCCAGGGACAGGGTGGCCAGCGAGCCTGGGGCCCCTGGCCAGGCGAACAGAGGGGAGGGGCAGCTGCCTTCTCTTAGGGAGCCAGGCAGCCAGCGAGGGGGCCGCTCCCCACTGCTTCCTGCAAAACTCAGGCCACTAGCTATTCAGCGGTCTTTGACCACCTCGCTGGACCCTTCAGTCCTCCTTCCCTCCCAGCAGCTGTGACGAGAAATGCACCATCAGCGTGGCGGCCTGGCTTCAGTCTTTGCTGAGTAGAGCTCAGATCCCAGGGCCGGAAGAGCTTGTCGTGTTCGTTGTACAGACGCGGCCAGTGGAGGGTGTATGCCAGCAACGCTGTGCGCTGCCCCGTGACCCCGGCCACAAGGGGAGAGTTGGGCAGAGGTAGCGACTCACCAGAACAGCTCACGTTTGCTCAGCGTGTCCCTGTGCCGTGCTCCATGTACCGACTGACCCTCACCGGATGAGAACAGTCCCACCACAGCCCCTTTCGGGCAGGAGACTGGGCAGCAGTGGGCCCACGTGATCTGTTCAGGGCACAGAGGAGGATGCAGGAAACCCGCGTTCTCCCATGTCTGCTGCAGCTCTGAGCCCCCGTGCTGGAGGCCAGTGGCCTGCCGGGCTCCTACGGTCGGGTTCTCTGGCTCTCTGCTTCTTCCAGGCAGCCTTGGTCCTCCACATCGGTCTGAGGAAAGAGGGAGGGATCACATGCTTGCCATGTGCTACTCTTGCCAGGGGTTTGTTGTATCCAAATTATATTGTAGAGGGGGACAGAGGGGCCCAGAGAGGTTCAGCAGCTTGCCTAATAGCACACAGCAGGGCTGGGAGCAGAGGCAGCCCACCTTCATGGTGAGCCCATCCGAGGATGCTGTTGCCAGGCGAGCTTCAGAGCATCAGAGCCTCTGGACCTGAGTTATCTTAATGGGGTTCAAGGGAGCCCAGACTGGGGACAGAGGCAGTCCCTGAGGTCCTGGACCCAGCCCCCGCCCAGGGCCTGTAGGACACAGAGCTCAGGGACAAGGGCCATGCCAGCTGAAGAGCTCCCTTGTCACCAGGTGCTCATGTGAGAGGACAGGCCCTCAGCCTCTCAGCAAACTGGCCCTGCCCCAGGAGGGCAGTTTCGTGACGACTTCTGCACACCCACTCCAAGGTGGGGTGGGTGTCGGCCTGACCAGGGCTTAACCTAGAGCTCGTGGTAGCAGTGCCACCAGAGTCCAGAGCCTGCAAAATGGGGGCAGCTGCAGACTTCCATGTCAGCGGAATCTGGCTGGAGGTGGAAGGGTAGAGACTAGCAGGTCTAATGTGATGACCGCACAGGCGGGGAAACTGAGGCTCGGAGAGGAGAAAGCAAGTCAGCACCAGAGCCCACCTACCTGGGAGGGTCCCACCTGCCCCCAGAGTAGGTGCCTCGACTGAGCCCTCGGATCCCTCTCTTTAACGTGGACAGAGTTGCTTGGACCCAGGGGCCCCAGGCCTTTTTTTTTTTTGAGGAAGATTAGCCCTGAGCTAACTGCTGCCAAGCCTCTTTTTGCTGAGGAAGCCTGGCCCTGAGCTAACATCCGTGCCCACCTTCCTCTACTTTATACGTGGAACGCCTGCCATAGCATGGCTTGCCAAGCGGTACCATGTCCGCACCCAGAATCCGAACCTGCGAACCCCGGGCTGCTGAAGCGGAACATGTGAACTTAACCGCTGCACCACCAGGCCAGCCCAGCCCCAGGCCTATTGTGCTGGGTTTAGGGCAAGGCATTGCTTGCCTGTGGCCCCCAGCACCATGAAGTGCCCTTCCCACCCGCATGTCGGCCTGAACTCTGGGAAGGGGGCACACCGAGCCCCCTCACACACACCCCCACCCACCCGGGCTGGGGAGGGCTCCAGCCCTACCCCCACACTAGTCTAGGGCCCTCGCTGGCTCGCTTGCTCATTCATGGGGACACCAAAAAACTCGGTAACCAGGATGCATATTTTATTGTAATATTTTTTAATGAAAAAACCCACGGTGTTAGTTTTCTATGGCTGCTCTAACAAATGGCCACAAATTTAGTGACTTAAAACAACACAAATCTATTCACTGCCAGTCTGGAGGTCGGAGGTCAGCACTGCGCCTTATGAGGCTGAACTTGGGGTGTCGGTGGGCCGGTTCCTGCTGCGGGCTCCAGGGGACCCCCTGTTCTCTCCTCTCCCACCGTCCGGAGGCTGCCCACGTTCTTGGGTGTGGCCTCCGCATGCCACACTCTGCTTCCTTACATCTGTAGTCACACTGCCCCCTGCCTCTCTCCTACAAAGCCGGCCAGGATGGTCCAGCGCAATCTCTCCATCCTTCATGTCATCACATCTACAGAGTCCCTGTTACTAGGCAAGGGGACATCGTCACAGGTTCCAGGCATCGGGACGGGGACATCCTTGGGGAGCCATTATTCAGTCTCTCACATCCATGATGAGCAAAATATCAAACTTGTAAAGAAAGACGGGGGCCCCGGGCGGCATTAGGGTGAGGCCCTTGCACTCAGGGCCGTGCAAGGAGAGGGTTGGACCCTATCTTTATTTAAAATTGTGATAGTTTGTTCATCATGGATTTTTGGCATTAATTTGTATTTTTTTTAACTATTGCCATAAAATATTTATCTTAGTTACCGAAGTTACCCCCTTAAATTTTGCCCATGTGGCAAGTGCTTAGGAAGAGCAAGAAGAGGACCCCACTGTACACTCAGCTGTCAGATGACACTCCCCCAAGCCCCTCCCTTACAGGATTCTCCCCCCAGGCCCCTGTGGACCACCCTCCCTCCTGTCTGCTATTGCACAGCCCCAGCTGTGCTACTCTGTCCACCTGCCCTCCTGGTGTGTGCCTGAGGCTGTGTGCCCACCCCCATCCCCCACCCCGCCCAGGCCTTCACACTTTGGAAGCATGGGATTGTGGGTTATTTTCCCTGGGACAGAGTCCTACCCTGGGAAGGACATAGACTTTGCAGAAATATCATTTAGGTTTGAACTGGAGACTTGTCACTTACCCGCTGTGTGACCTTAGGCAAACTGCATCACCTCTCTGAGCCTCAGCTGCTTTGTCTGTAAAATGGGGACATTAATACTTACCTCTCAGGGCTGCACAAGACACCCTATAAGTCCTAACCACATTCCCTGGCATGGCCTGTCCATGGCCCGTGTCAGGGCAGAGGGCTGGAGCCCTGAGCGCCGGCTCTGAAGCTGGCAGGCCAGCTCTAGATCTGGGCTTGGCGCTCTGCTGGCTGGGTGACCCAGACCGAGACACCTGACCTTCCTGGGCCTCCATCGCCTCACCTGGAACACCTGCCTCCCAGTGTGTGGACTGGACGGGAACCCCTAAAGCGAGTCCCCCGCAAGGCGGGAGGGACCCATCCCCGGGAGCGGCCCGTACTTCTGCGGCGCTTAATAACAGCGAGCATCAGGAAAAGGGTCTCAGATGCTGGAGACGGGAGTGCCTCCACGGGGCTCGCTTCAGGCGCGGGGTTTCGGGGACTCGCCAGGCCGGGCCCTCCCCGCATCCCCGCATCCCTGCATCCCTCTCTCCTCCCTCCTCCAGGCCCGGGGCGGGCGGCGGGCAAGACGCTACCTGCGCGCGTGCCGGGCATTCCTGCCGCCGCCTGGGCGCGCCATGGGCCTGATGCCGGCCGCGCGGGCCTCCGCCGGCTGCCGCGCCTGCCCGCCGCCGCCCTGCCGCCTGCCCGCCTGCTGCGCGCCCGCCGCCCCAGGTACGCTCGGCCCGGGCCCGGGGGAGGGTAGGGCCGGGGCGCGGGGCGCGCGCGGCGGGCGGAGAGCAGTCTCCAGCCCCGGGGGTGGGCGGCCCGCTCGCACAGAGGAGGAAACTGAGTCTGGCAGGGCGCGCGGTCTTGCAAAGAATCGGCCCGCCGGCTCCGCTGCAGAGGGGACCGAGCGGGATGCGAGCCCCGGGCTGTGAACTCCAAGCCCAGTGCTTGCCCCACGTTTGCCTCCCTGGGCCTCAGGAAGGCCACCGGACACCCGGAGGCGGGGCACTGCTTCCCTGGGGCCCGGCTCGCCCTAGGCACACCCCCGCCCCCGCCCCCGCCCCCGCCCATGATGGATGCCTCTCTGTGCCTCCCGCGCCGAGTTCAGTCTGTTGGGGGAGGGCAGCTCTGAGCAACCCCCCCCCCCCCAGTACCTAGAGCAGGACCGAGTACACGGGCACGAGCGCGGAGTGATGGCAGGGTAGGTTTACCCCCGTGGGTGCGTGCAAGGAGGATGCGCGGGCCGTGGTGAGGGGGAGCCGGAATGCGCGGGGCGGGGCGGGGGGGTGCTGTTACCCCTACCCCAAGCTTGTGATTCTCTGGAGAGACTTTAGGAATTCTTTTCCTCATCGCGTTTCTTCCATGATAGTGGCTTCCCTCCTCCCGAACTGGGCAGACTCCGAGTGTGGCCAGAGCAGGCCCAGAGGTCTCCTCTCAGGGATCAGCCCAAGAGGGAGTCCCAGTGGTCTCTCTTTCTTGTTGGGGCCCTGGGGGCAGCAGAGCCCACCCCCTGGGGCAGGAAGGGCCACATTTGTCAAGCACCTGTTTCCATGTGCCTGGTGTGCAAGGCTCTCCCACGGCTGCTCACAGCCCGGTAAAGTGACAGAGACACAGGCTCAGAGGTTGAGCACTGTGCCCAAGGTCACTCAGGACAGGGATCTGAGCCAGCTGACCCCCGGACCGGTGGCTTTCTGCTACTGCAGGGGATTCTGGGGAGAGGAGAGTGAGGGCCCGCTTTGTCAGGGAGCAGCTGGCAGGAGAGCAGGCCCGGCCCAGCTCTGAGCCAGCTCTGAGCCATCAGCAGGTTCATCCAGAGGCAAGCAGCCTCTGCCAGCTTCCTCTCTGGTGGCAGAGCCGGTACTTTGTGGAGTGCGTGGGCTGGGACCTCGAGGAACCCGCACGCTGGCTGGGTTTCCAGGGATCTGACAAACCTGCTGGAACTGGTTCTTGGCAAGGCTCCCCCTCCGAGTCGTGCCAGGAGGGCTGAGGGAGTTCAGCGTGGATGTTCCAGGCCCTGCCAGGCTCTGGCGGAGAGACCTGGGCAAGGGGAGTGGGCAGGGGCCCCTGGGCATGGAGGCCAGGCCCTGTAGCCTGGGTGCAGGGGGCTCCAGCAGGAGGACGGCTGGGAAGGAGGCCCTGGGCAGCAGAGCTGGAAGAATGCTTTCCCCTGGGGCTCCCCAGGGCGGCTTTCTGCAGACGGTGGGAGGGCAGCCCCCCCTGCAGCCTGCACAGGATCCCGGGCCAGGCTCCGTGCAGCCCTGCTGGGGATGTGGGGTCAGCCCGGGGCCTGGGGGACCTGGGGGCAGGGCCCCGGGGCAGCCCCTAGAGACAAGTGTGATTATCCCCGTTTTCTAGATGGAGAAACTGAGGTCCTGGAAAGGGGACCACTCCTCTCCTTAATGGCGTAGCCAGGATGCTCACCCAGACCGGTGCAGGCGCAGGCTCAAAATCTCTGTCTTTATGGCCTTTGGACTTGACCATCGCCTACTGACTGTGTCCTGACCCCGACCACCCTCCTTCTTGCCCAGCCCACAAGTCCACACACACGTGCATGCAAGCACACATGCATAAGCCCACACGCATGCACACCCGCACATGCTCACACTCATGAATCCACACGCATCTGTACGCACCCATCCTGCCCCGGCACGCGGGCAGTCTCAGCCCAGCGTCCATGCAGTGCTCACAGGGTTTCTCAGTGGGCAGTTCCTCTGCCTTCTTCCTCTCTCCCTCTCCCTCATCGCTTTCTTGTCCTTTATTAAATGTTTTGGATCTTTTGCTTTCTGATTTTTTTTTTGGCAAGTGTTATTGAAATGTGGCATACAGAAAAGTGTACAAACCACAAGTGTACAGTTCAGTGAATTTTCTCAGGGTGAACACGGCTGGGAAAGCAGTGCCCAGGTCCAGAAACGGCATTACCAGCACCCCAGACACCCCGCAGTCCCCTTCCGGTCACTGACCCACCAGCTCAACGTGTCCTGACCTGGTTTTGTAGTTCACATAGATGGAGTTGTGCAGTGTGTTCTCTGGGTCTGGCTTCTGCTCACAACATTTATTTTTTAATTTTAAAAAATTTTGGTAAAGTAGACCTAACATAAAATTTAACGTCTTAACCATTTTTAAGCACACAGTTGAGCAGCATTAAGTACATTCATAATGTGCAACCTTGCCACCATCCATCGCCAGAACTCTGGCTGTCTCTGTACCGAGTAAACACTAACTCTCCATCCGCCATCCTCCAGCCCCTGCCAACCACCTTTCTGCTTCCTGTCGCTATGATTTTGACCAGTAGTAGTCAAAACTTAGGTACCTCATAGGAGTGGACTCCTACAGTATTTTTTTTGTGACTGGCTTATTTCACTGAGCATAATGACCTCAAGGTTCATCCATACAGTAGCATCTGTCAGAATTTCCTTCCTTTTTAAGACGGAATAATATTCCATTGTATGGATGAGCCACATTTTGTGTATGGTTGCTTCTACCTTTTGACTATTGTGAATGTGAGTGTACACACATCTCTTTGACGCCCTGCTTTCAGTTCCTTTGGGAATAGAGGCAGAAGTGGAATTGCTGGGTGGCATGGTGATTCTGTTTTAAATTTTTTTGAGAAGTCTCCATACTGTGTTCCACTGTGGCTGCACCGTTTTGCATTCCGACCAACAGCACACAAGCCTTCCGGTTTCTCCACGTCCTCGCCAGCACCTGCTGTTTTTGCTTTTGGTCGTGGCCCTCCTGGTGGGCGTGGGTGGGATCTCACTGTGCTTTTGGTTTGTGTTTCCCTGATGACTGGCGATGTCGTCATGATTACGTTTTCACATCAGTGTGTCGTCTGTCCTGTTGCGTGAGCTGTGCCTCCTCAGCTCTCCTTGCTGTCGGGGGCTCCACGGCCCGAGAGGGTGTCTAGCCCCCTGGTGTGCGCCCGCCCAGTTTCTAATTTGCTTCTTCAGGAGGAGCCGCTTTTGGCCCTGGCAGCGCCCCTGCCCTCCGTTGCCCGAAGTGCCCGCCCCCCCCCCCCCCCCCCCCCCCCCCCCCCCCCCCCCCCCCCCCGTTGCTGGGGTGACCGAGGGGGTGACGGCTCCTCTCTGTGCCCAGGCATCTTCGGGCAGCGCCTGGAGGACACGGTCCACCATGAGCGCAAGTACGGCCCGCGCCTGGCGCCCCTGCTGGTGGAGCAGTGCGTGGACTTCATCCGCGAGCGCGGCCTCACCGAGGAGGGCCTCTTCCGCCTGCCCGGCCAGGCCAACCTGGTGCGGGACCTGCAGGACTCCTTCGACTGCGGGGAGAAGCCGCTGTTTGACAGGTGAGCTCCGGGGTGCAGCCGGGGCCTGCCCATTCCTCCTGCAGGGGCTCCTCCGGGACGCCGGCTCCACGGGCAAGGGAGTCTGGAAGCAGGACGCTGGGCAACGTGGTCCCCACGTCCGCACCTGGGGTTCCACCTGCCCTTCCTGTGGGCAGGGCGCAGGGCACCAGATCACCCAGCAGCCCTGGGTCCCCTCTTGGGACGTATCCGGCCCTCATCCACGTGGGCCCTTTCCACGGAGGATGCTCAGAAACCCCGCCCAGGCAGGAGAGAAGGGCTCCCACAGGTCCCTTCCGGACCCCTGACTTTCTGCGGGATCTGCCTCTGGGCTCTCTTCCTCAGGTGCCCCTGCCCAGGCTCCTTCTGGGCCCAGATGGAGCGGCAGCTCTGCCCGCATCCTCTCGGGTTCCAGGGTCCTGGAGCAAGTCTCCTTCACGTGTCGCCAGGCAGCGCCCACCCTCCCGAGCACTGGGCCTGAGCAGGTCTGCGCTGCATCTCAGGGTGGGGGTCGGGGGAGTCAGCCTCACTTGGGGCTCCGGGGCTGAGGTAAGCCCTGGGAGGTGGGCTGTTCAGGGGCCTCTTCTCTCGACATTATGGCGCATTTTTCATAGAAAGTTCTGCATCAAGCCAACCCTGGCTTCACGGAGCTTCTGCCCTTTCTTCTCGGATCTGCCCTCCTAGACGAGGCCCCCCTGAGCCCCAGGAGATGCCCAACCTGGCCTTCCCAAGTCTTCTGGTCTCAGGGCAGAACACTGTCAGCCCCCCAGCTTCTGCCCACACCCATCACAGCAGCCAGGAGAGTCATCAGTTCCTTCCTTTAGATGTGGAGCCTAGGAGGGACCACCATTCCCCAGAAGAGGTCTGCCCAGGGGGACACAGGGGACCCTTCGCCTAGAGCCTTGTGAAACTCCGTCCCAATACTCTGAGCTTGTGGTCCAGCATTTACAATCTCACTGAGCTTGTGGTCCATTCTGAACCTCTGTCAGCCAGGCCTCCTCCATCCTGTGTGTATGTGGCCCAGGGTTGGAGATTGCTTGAAATAATGCCCCTTCTGTGGTTCCTGGAAACTTACTTTTGACCTTGGGGCTTTTCAGAGAAGGGGCCAGGGCCCTGCTTGCCACTGACCCCCTCCCTGAGTGTTCCTCTGGCTGTGGATGACCACAGCCTCCCCTTTCTCTACCTTCCTTTCACCAGAAAGGTGCTGAGGAGCCGAATATGGTGTGCTGGTGGGACATCTGAAGGAGGTGATCAGTAGCCACAAAGACCCTCAGATCCAGAACCTAGGAGAGGATTCTGGGGGTAGATGTGGGGCTGGGCGTCATCTGTTCAGCAGGGCGACAATAGGGCGTGGGGGCATGTGAGCGCACCTGGGGAAATGTGAGGGGAAGCGGGGCACGTCCTCGGAGGATGGGCCCAGGTGACCCCAGGAAGAGCTGTACAAGTGGCCAGAGAGGGAGCCGGGAGCCAGGAGAGAGGGCATCCAGGACCCCGGGGAAGGCCCGCCCCACACTGCTGAGTCAGGTCTGTGAGGTGCTGCATCTGCTGGGCTCTGGGATGGTCAGCTGCTGGTCCTGGGGGTGTTCTGCAGGCGGCCCGGAGGGAAAGATCCAGGCCTAGGACTTGAGGAGCCGCAGCTTGGGATGGTATCTGTGCCGCCCTGGACACAAGGCAGAGAGAGGCATGGGCCGCCCTGGCCACTCCAGGGAGCTGGGTCAGTCCCGAGGCCAGGGAGCCTGGCAGAGTTTGGGTGGGGCCGTGGTGAGATCTGATCTGTGTTTGCAGAAATCCCCTGGGTGGCAGCAGGCACCAGGGCAGTGCAGCTCAGGCCTGGGGAGCTTCTAAAAGTCCAGGTTGCCGGGCCCTGCCCTCCCCTTCCCGTGGAAGCAGACTCCAGGGGCGAGGGGCTGAAAGCTGTGAGTTTGAAAGCCCCCAGTGAGTCAGTGGCTGAGGGGGAGCCCCTCCTCCCTGGGGTGGGGGCCTGAGCCAGGTGAGTGGGATGGGTGGGGGCAGGTACAGGCTCCCTCTGTCCTCCCCTCCCTTCGCCCCCTCCCCCTCCCCCTCCCCTCATGCCCTGACCCCCTGCTCCTGTCCGGAGCACCCCACACTTGACCTGGCCTCTGTGTGTTTACAGGTGTTTCCTTAAATGGTTACATGTCCATTTTATGGATTAGGACCCAAGGCTGGGAGACCCTGTGTAACTCGCCCAAGATGCCCAGAGGTGGGCGTTGCCCAGCTGGAATCCTGGCCTCTCCTGGAGCCCCTTCCTCTCCACCTGCATCCCTCCACTTCCAGAAAAGTCTCTCCCTCACCCGCTCTGCCCTCTGGAACCGGCCATCCTGTTTCTCCCTCCCGTCACCGGATGGCCCCTCCCGCAGGCCTGCCCTCCCACACCCACCCTTGCCCACGTCCTGGCCTCAGCCCTGAGATCTGGGCTCCTGCACTCGCCTTAACAGGGCCCTCCTCACCATTGCTCCCCTCACCCCACGGCTGCCCCAGGCTATGGGTGCTTTCCCCTCCGGAAATTCCTCCCTGGGGCAGCTGACCCCATCCTTTCCCATGTGCCACCATCTCCATCTCCGTGACACTCCTCTGGCCCTGCAGCTGTGTCCACCTGCTGACTCAGGGGTCCCCGGGCTCCTCCCCTCGCCCACCTGCCAACAGAGGCGTTTCAGGGTAGAGCTCGCTCACTCCCTAGACCACGCTCTGCACCACCAGGAGCCTGGCCCCAGGCCCTGGGCCTCTCCTCCATAAAGAGCCCCACCAGGCCTGGAAGCCAGTCACCAGGGCTGTCCCGTACCCATCCTTCCCACAACCCTGGCCCCGGCCCCTGGGCCTGGAGCAGCCCTCCCAGCCCTGTCCACGTGGTTGCCAAGCATCCAGGAGGGTCTCCTCTGGGCCAGACTCTGGTGACTCTGGCTGCAGCCCTCTCTTCCTTCCCTCAGCACCCCTCCATCAACTGAGAGCACTCGGTAGGCGTGGGTGTACAAACGTGAACAGGACAGAGAAGGTCCTGCAGGCACACGGCCGCCGGGGCAGGTGACAAACGAGTCACCGCACTCAGGGAACCAGCGCTGGCTCCCATCCACCTCCCCCCACCTCCACTGGAACATGTGCTCCTGGCTCCAGAGGAGGCCAGGGAGGCAGGTCACCTGGGCGCCGGGCCACCCCCACCCCTGGGAGGTGGGCTTGGGGTGGAAGCCCTCAGAGGGTCTGGAGTGAGAACTGGGGTCAGCCGCCGCGAGGAGCATGCATTGCAGGGGAGAGAGGTGCAAGGGGATGGGTGGGAGACACAGCCGTGTTCTGGGCTGGATGGCGCTGGTGCTGGGGGGGCCAGAGGGGGAGGAAGAGATGCGAAGGAGCGGAGGCACAGCCCATCCATCCTGCAGATGGAGAACCTGAGGCTCTTGGGTTATCAGCACACCGCTCCGTCGCCCTGACACAGCAGAAGCTGGTTTGGGCCCCAGGCAGATCCCCTTGTTTCCGGCTTTTGCCCTCCCTGCCCTGCGCCCAGCCCCCCCACCACTTGCTGTGAGCCTGGTCTGGGGCCAGGGAGAAGGACAAGTGACAGCACCAGCCCTGGAGGGGCTCACAGGCTGGGGGACCCCATGGTGTGGGGCCTGTGGACCGCTCTCCTTAGGTGCTGGGGGGGCGCGGGATTCAGGGCTGGTGTTCTGTGTGTGGGGGGGAGGGTAATTAGGAAAAAGTGGCAGGAAACAGCCTTGAGCCCACCTGTTGAAGGAGAAGGCTCAGTGGTGAGTGGGGAGGGTGGGGTGAGGGGTGGGGAAGTCCATTTCCAGGGAGCCAGGAAGGAAGGGGGGGGTGGGATCCCAGGCTGGGGCTTCAGGCAGGGACGCAGCTGGGGGCGTCTGCAGAGTGGAAGGGCCACTTGCCGAGGACAGAAATGCTTCCACCTCCCCGACCCGGGGGGACATCATGGCTGGCCCTTGTCCCTACTGCTTTGCTTTCGCTGCCCATGTCCTTCCAAAGGGCAAGGCTGCTAGTCCTTCCTGCTTCCTGTACCCTCCTTCCCATCCTCCTGGGACTCCAGTCGGGGAGAGGCCACTGGGCTCAAGCCTGGGTTCCTGCTGGGGCTCTAAATCCCCAGGAAGTGGAGGGTGTGGGCAGAGGGGCTGGCCGGGGGAAGGCAGTGGAGGGCGTGGGCAGCAGCCTGCCTGGCTGGAGAGGGGAGGGAGGGCAGGGACAGAGGCTGCTCAGTTGGCAGCCCAGGACTCACCAGGCCTGAGGCAGGGAGGGGCCCCGGGTATGTGGGTTTTAGGTGCATGTTGGCATATGGCACCCCAGAATCCCAAATGTCAGGGCCAGAGGGGACCCCAGGGCCTATCTCAGTGAGACCAGCCCTGGACAGCCAGGGCCAGGTGGCACCTCAGTGGCACAGCCCCGTTCTCCTGGCCCCTGGCCCATCTTTCCTCAGTGCCTCCCACGAAGGAAACGCAGTCCGGGGTTGAAATCCGGGGCCCTAGAAAAGCAGACGGAGTGCCCGGGGCTCGGGCCCGGCCTGGAAGGCGAGCTTGGAGGAGGTGCTGGGGCTGCAGTCCAGCACCTGAACCCAGAGCCCAAACAGGCCTCGGGCCTCTGCCCCCCACAGGGGCCCGCTTCCGCCCGGGCAGCTCGGAGCTGAGTGCAGGAGACTGAGGACTGAGAGTGGACAGACGGGGTGCTGGGGAGCCTGAACTGGGGTGCTGAGCCTAGACGCTCAGGCGGCAGTAGTGTACTAGGAGCCAGAGGCCAGGGGCAAGGCCTGACCTCTGACCTGCCTGGCCCCTGGGTGACGTGGGGCTGGGGGAGCAAGTGCAGGCTGTGCCCCTGGCTCCCCCCACCCCCCCTGGGGGCAGTGTGGCTCCCAGTCACCCTGGTGCAGCCCTAGGCCCGCAGAAGGGGAACTTGCCCTCCTTCTGGTTGCCTGGCAGGCTGTCACAGGCACCCCTCCAGCCCGGTGTGAGCTGGCCTGGTCACCTGTGCTTCCTCCCACCCACAGCAGCCTCTGTGGGGCAGCAGTTGTGCCCTGCAGGGCCCTGTGGCTTTTGCAGCCGTGGAGTGGACATTCGCCCCTTCAGCCCCACTCTATCTGTGAGGGAGACACTGCCGGCCAAGGACTGACCCCACCATGAGGCGTGGGGCTTCTGAGCAGGTGCAGGCTGCTAGGTTGTCGCTGAGCTGGCACTCCGGCCCCCACCCGCCTCCAGCCCCTGTGTACTGCTGCTGGAGCAGCCGGGGCCCTTCCTTGACCAGGAGCAGTGGGTGCCCCTGCAGCATTCCTCTCTTGCCCCTGCCTTACACACACACGTGCATGCACACACACTGCAAGATGCGAGAGCAGAGGCTGCCCCTGGGGGCGGAGGGCGAGTACTGGTCACTGCCGCAGTGCCCTGGCACCAGGCCTCATGCGTGTCCCTGGCCGGCAGCACGACAGATGTGCACACGGTGGCCTCGCTGCTGAAGCTCTACCTGCGCGAGCTGCCTGAGCCCGTGGTCCCCTTCGCCAGGTACGAGGACTTTCTCAGCTGTGCCCAGCTGCTCACCAAGGACGAGCGGGAGGTGAGTGGCTCGCAGGGACCCATCCTGGGAGGACGGCCTGTTAGGTGGTGGGAGGGGTGTGTGGAGTCAGGGCACAAAATTTCCATGACTATTCATGGCACAGAGATCCTGGCCTGCAGCCTGCTCTGTGTGTGGAGGGGCGCGTCCTGGAGCAGCCTGCTCTATTGAGGGGGCAGGCCTGGAACCTTCCTCTCTGGGGGGGTTGGGGTCATCCTGATGTGTGTGGGGGACGGTACTCTTGTGAGGCCCTGGAGCGTCCCCCCTGTGGAGGGTCCACCCTATGTGCAGGGCTTGGTCTCAGGGCGGGACAGGTCCGTCCCACAGCAGGCCGTGTTGCAGTCACTGCCCAGCTCTGGGCCCCCACACAGTAGGCCCTCCTGCTCCACTACTGGCTCCCACACCCCTCTCAGGCCACCCAGGCTGGCTGTGGGGCTCAGGGACAACCAGCCCTCTCATCTATTTATAGCCTGCCTCCTCCCGAAAGAATTTGAGACCGCTCGGGGGACAGAGGGTCCCCCCTCACCCCGCAGGTGCCCGCCTGCAGCCCTGGGCTGGCTCCCGGCTGCGGAAGGACTATTTGCCCTCCCTGTGGCCCTGTGGGAGATGAGGGGTCTTTATCTGGCAAATATTTGTGTCTCGATAAGTGAGCTGAGCGCTGGCCCTGACATTCCTCTGTGGCCCTGGAGAGGCGCATCCCTCACACCAGCTCCCCACAGTAAATGCGCTTCCCCAGCCGGCCTCAGGCCTGGCCCGGCCACTCCTGGAAGGGAGATGGAGGTGGCAGTGCCCTCTGGTCCCCTGGGGCCTGGCCGCATGGGTCGTGGCTGGAGGTCTGGCCTCTGGTTGCTTCCAGCCCCCCAGCCCACCTCCCTCCGCCTGTCCCACCCTCCCTCAGTAAGGGAAGGGCCCCCACCTCATTGCTGCTCTATGACACGTTGTTTTCCTCTTTCAATCCCAAGGGGACTCTCGAGTTGGCTAAACAAGTACGCAGCCTTCCCCTTGCCAATTACAACCTGCTCCGATATATCTGCAAGTAAGTGGCTGGGGATGCTGGTCCCCTCCCACCCCATACTCCTCCCCGAGCGGAGGCTGAGCTGCTGGGGGCTAGGAGAGAACACAGTCCCCGCGCTCACGCAGCTGACTGTGCCCCTGGGAGTGGGCGATGCTAAAAAGCCCCGTGTGGATCATTCCTGAAGGAAAGGGACACACCCTCTGTCCCTTCTGCCTCCTTGGGGTACCTTTCCCCGTCCCCTACCCCAGGGCTCTGCCTCCTGACCGTGACCAAGGCTCAGGCCTTGCCCAGCCCCGTGCCTGGGGGCCTGGGCATTTGTCCCGACTGCCGACAGGAGTCGTGTGTCTTTGCACACCGATGATGGGCCCATGTCCGCTGACCTCTGCTTCTGCTGGCCCTCGCAGACCCCAGGGGGAAGCTCCGCCCTCTTCTGAGCCTGGCGGGAGCAGCCGCGGAGACCTGGGGGCATGGCTGGGCCTGGGGGCCTGGCAGCTCCCAGCAGACCTGGCAGCAGGATTTCCTCCTCCTCCACCCACCTCCGTTCCCTGGCAGGTTTCTGGATGAAGTTCAGTCCCACTCAAATGTCAACAAGATGAGTGTCCAGAACCTGGCAACTGTTTTTGGACCTAACATACTTCGGCCACAGATCGAAGACCCAGTGACCATCATGGAGGGTAACGGGGGAGGCTCGCGGCGGAGCTGGGCGGCTGGGGGCTGGGCTCGCCGTGGTCCTGGGCAGGTCCTCCGAACCATCATGCCGGGCCAGCGGGAGGGGTGGCCCCATCCCTGGGGATGAGGCAGAGCCTCTCAGGACCTCCCCCCTTCCCTCTCTCCCCTGGGGTCCAGCTGTAAAAGGAGCAGGACCTTTGCCCGCTGGAAGTCATCGGGTGCAGTTAGAATGGTAGGAGAGGCGGAGGATGGAAGGGTCAGCGTCCCGGCCATGCACACACACGTTTTTGCCTTACTTAAGTAATTTTCTAATATCAAATTGTCACAGCCCTCTGGGTGTGTCACACCTTTGCAAACCGTAGGGAATTTTGTTCTATAGCAAATAATAACCATAAAATGATAAAAATAGCAGCTGCTTTCAATACACCACGGCCTCTCCAAAGTGCTTACCGTGTCCCCTCACTGTAATCCACACAAGCGGCCCTTGCTTGGTTACTGCCCCCACTCTACAGATGAGGAAACTGAGGCCGGGGGGGCGAGGGGACTCGCCGTCATACAGAAGGGCACAGGTGCAGGCTGGCGTGGCTGAGAGCCCACGTGCGGAGACCCCTGGACGACTGTCTGGAGGGGTCAGTGTGAGAGTCCTACTGCTCACAGACAGGAGCCTGCAGCCTGTCCGGCGGAGGAGGACAGGGGCCGAGCAGGATGCACGCAGTCACAAGGCCAGCAGGAGCCGCGGCCCTGGCACCCGGCGAGCTGAGAGCAGAGTTGCCATTCCTTGCTCTGTGTGACCTGGGGCAGGGTGGGGTGTGGCCCTTGGGGGTGGCTCTCTTGCTCAGGTCCCCCCGGCCTGCCCAGCTGGGTGTGGGAGGCCCCAGGCTCGCGCCCGCCAGGTTCCATGAATGCCTGAAGGTGACCTCGCTGAGTTCCTGCTGCCCCCAGATTTCTGGGCTAAGGATTCTTTCCTTTTTCCCAGGACTCTAAGTTACCTCTAGCGGGAGGGGGCCACTCAGGCACTGCACCTTCCTTATCACCCGGGGGCCTCCCCAGTCTCTGCTCTGTGTTGGGCTGAGGGTAACAGGAGGGAACGAGGCAGGCAGATAGACACCCCGATCCTCCCCCAGCCACTGCTCCCAGCCCCCACCCCACAGCCTCAGGAACCGAGTCCCCCACAGATGCCACAGTCTGCATCTCAGGGGCTGTGGCTGGAGAAGGGGGATTGTGTGTGTGTGTGTATGGAGTTGTGCCTGTTGGGGGGGCTGTATGCATTCGTGTGTGTATGACTGTGTGTGTGTGTGCCTGCGTGCCCCTGTAAGATATCTCTATTCCCCGTCCAGAGCCCTGGGCCCCCCCAGAGCGTGGACAGTCAGGCACTCCGTCATTGGCACTCCGTCATTGGCAGCACAGGGGAGTGACACGGGGCAGCCAAGAGGACGCTGATGTCCAGGGCCTGGTTTCCAGTCCCAGCCTGCCACTCGCTCACCCCGCAACCTCAGTGGGCATCATGCCTGCCCTCTCCCCCATGCCGCTGGATGGGGGGCGCTCGGGGGCACAGTGCCTCCCCTGGGCTCCAGGCCCTATGTCTATCCAAGGAGGGGGTTCTTGGGCAGGATTCTGCTGTCCGTGCCTAGGTTTGGAGGCTGTGGTGACCGTCCTTTCCTTCGGGGCAGCTGATAGCCAGCTGCTGTTGAGTCCTCTCTTGTGGGGCAGCCTGGTCCTCGGCTGCAGGCAGGGCCAGGTGCCCTGGGTCCGAGCCGCAGCACCCCGCCACCAGTCTGGAGAGCCTGGACTGGGCATGATGCACAGCCAGGCCTTTCTCGTCCCATCTTCTTGGCAGGCACGTCCCTGGTGCAGCACCTGATGACCGTCCTGATCCGCAAACACAGCCAGCTCTTCACAGCGAGGGCTGCCGAAGGGCCAGCCTCCCCACGCGGGGGCCCCCCGTGCACCGTGGGATGGGGCTCCGAGGAGGTCACGAAGGACAGCCAAGCAGAGCCCAGCAGCCCCACCACCCCCGGCCTGCCCTCACACAGGACCTCATCTCTGGACGGGGCCACTGTGGCGGCGCTTTCTAGAACCTCTCCCAAGGGCCTGGGCAGCCACTGCAGCCCGGCTGCCACCAGCCCTGGGAAGAGGGTACAGACTCTGCCCAACTGGAAGTCCTCCTTCCGGCAGCCAGGGTCGCGATCAGGGAGCCCAAAAGCGGGCAGCTCGGCCCTGGAGGTGCCCGACACCTCCTCCAGTGGGAACTGGCTCATGAATGGGCTGTCCTCCCTGCGTGGCCACCGCCAGGCCTCGTCGGGGGACCGGCTCAAGGACCCGGGCTCTGCACAGAGACTCTCCACATATGACAACGTGCCCCCGGCTGGCCCGGGTGCCAGCACGCCCAGCGGGGCCAGCACGGCAGGGTCCGGAGCCTCCTCTGGCGACGCCTCCGTCAGGGCCTCACTCAGCAGCTGCACTGCCTGCAGGGCCAGCGACTCGTCTGCCTGCAGCTCCCTCGAGCCCTCCCCGTTCCCCAGCAGCAGTGAGGACCACAGATGTGCAGACCTGGGCCGTGGCCTGGACGGGGCAGGGCCCTGCATCAGCAGCAGCGAGCCCAGTGACGCAGGCAGCCCCGTGCGGGACCGTGCCCACCGCTCCGAGGCTCTGCAGGGCCTGGTCACGGAGCTGCGGGCTGAGCTGTGCCGGCAGCGGACTGAGTACCAGACGAGTCTGAGAAGGTAAAGGCTGCAGCCGCTGGGCAAGCACAGGCCGGCCCCCCGACTGGCAGAGCCCTCGTGGCCAGCTGCTCACCGGGCACCAGCCCGGATGGTCCGCCTCTGGCCTCTGGCTCCGAGAGAAAGCCACCTGGAGGCTGAGCTCAGAGCAGCCAGCCCCTAGAAGCTGCCTTTCTGCAAGAATGCCCCCAGGACAGGGGTGGGAATGGAGGGCTTGGGTCCTGTGTCTGGGAAAGCTCAGGAATTGTGGGGCCCAGCATGCAGTTGGAGCTCCATAAATACCTGCTGAACGGATGAGTGAGTCAGAATCTCAGCCCGTGCTGCTCAGAGATGCCTTTGATGGAGGTGCTCAGAGTGGGGGTCCCTATCTGGCCCTCAGCCAGGGAGGGGGCAGGCCCCGAAGGTGTGCGTGAGCACGGGGCAGTGCCCACGTGCAGGGAAGTCCCCAGGCCAGCCTGGTTGGCTGACTGTGGTCAGGCCTGACATGGAGGGAGGACTTCCAGGATCAGAATCTGCTTTCCTCTGGGAGGGTGCTGGCTCCCGCCTGCTCTAGTCACAGGAGGATGTCACAGGCTGCGTTCTGAGCCTTGCGAGCCTGCTCACAAATGGGCCCCAGCTCGACCCTCCCAGGCTCCCTGTGGGGACAGTGTTTTCCAGCATGAGAGGCTGAGTGCTCCCATTAAGGTCATCAGCTGAGCCTGCAGCGGACAGCACGGTGCTGCCATCAGCATCTCAGGCCCCTGAGCCCTGCTCTCCCCAGGCCCTGGGTCAGCTGTCTGACCCACAAACCGGGTCCCATCCACCAGCAGAGGGCGTCAGCAGATTCCTAGGGCCTCCTTTGTCCATCAGAGGCAGTGGAGGTGGAAGGGGTTCCTCCTCCTAATTCTGAGCCTGGCATTGCCTCAGGGAGCCGGAATGGCAGCATTGGGCCCTTTTGCCCTGCTGGCAGAGTCTCCCTGGCCACCAGGGGGTGGCAGGTGTGTGCAGGCGCTGTGTTCTCAGTGGGAAGAGGCCCTGCCGTGGGGGAGGTCAGGGAGGGTCACAGCAGGTAGGCAGTGTCTGAGCTGGGACTTGATGACCAACAGGATCGAGCTGAGCAAGGAGGAGAAAGGACCCAGCAGCAGTAGAGCTCCGAGGTGTAGACAGTGGGGAAAACTCCACCAGTGGGAGTCTGGGTAATTTACCAGGCAGAGGTGACAGAGGAAGCCCCCTACAGAGACAGAAGAAGATGCTTCCCGCTGAAGATGAGCTCACAGACAAGACTGTAGAATCTAGGGAAGGAGTACCATGTAGAGAGGAGGGCAGAGTCACACTGTCACCTCCCCGGCTGCTGGTGGAGCCAACTTGAGCTTCTAGTGCTCCCACCTTCTCAGACACGTGGTTTCTCAGGGGAAAGCGCAGTGTTGTTCTGTGATGGGTTCTGGGTCTGGGTCAGACTGCCCTGCTGTGTGTTGGCTGAGTGTCCCAGGCAGGCTCTCGGACCGGACCCGTGTGTATTGGCTGAGTGTCCATCTGGGCTTGGGTGACCTCCCTCGTTTGTCATGAGGATGAAGTGACATGAGGGATGGGATGCTCAGCACAGAGCCTGCGTATCCAGGATGCTCAGGAAGCCTTTATGGTTTGTATCACCTCCTCCTGGGTGGGTTGGAGGTAAGATAAGGCTCCCAGAGGCAGAGGGACAGCAGCCTTGTGGTACTCCCACCAGCAGAGCGGTCCAGGCTGTCGTCCTGGCTGGAGGGGTGGCCTAGGGTGAGGAAGGTCTCTGAGCACAGGAAGGGATGGGCGCCCCGCCCAGCAGGCCTTTGGGGAGCATGTCTGCGCATGTGGAGCATGCACTGGCTCTGGGCTGGGGGTGCAGAGGAGACTAGCTTCCTGTGATGCAGAACCCCTCGCCTGCGCCCTGATTCCTGCATTCCCCGAAGAGAATACCTCGAGTGTCTGTGATGTGCCCGACACCGTGCCAGGGTTGGCGACACAGCTATGACCAAACTGATCAAAATCTCTGCCTTCATTTGGTGAGAGTGGGAGGGGACAGAGAGACCATAAACAAGATAGACTTTTAAAAATATATGGTACGTTAGAAGGGTAGATAAAGGAGGAGAACAATAAAACAGGGTGGAAGGAAGGGGAACTTGGGGACAGAGGGTTGGAAGGCACTGCTGGGAGGAGGGGAAGAGCTCAGAGTCAGTATTGCAGGCCGAGGAAAGGGCCATGTGGAGAAGCCAAAAGCTCGGGGGGCTGGAGAAGCAGGCGCTGTATCGGGGCAGAGGAAGGAGTGGGGTTGGGGCGGGGCAAAGCATGAGAAAGTGGGCGGGGCAAAGTGTGGGAAAGGAGGCGGGGCGGGGCCTTTGAGCCAGAGGTTGCTGTGGATTTTACGTCCAGGAAACTAAGTGGCCGGAGGCCGCGAGTGCTTGGATGGCTTTGATGGCGACCCAGGCTGCTGTGCGGAGGAGAGCTCACCAGGGAGGCCCGGGGTTCCAGGCCAGACTTGCGGGCAGCATGGACCTCATGGGCAGCAGTGAGGTGGGAGAAGCAGCCGAATTCTGAACATGTTTATGGAAGGGTTTTGCTGGTTGATCAGATGTGGGCGTGAGAAGAAGAACTGACGAAAGGGACGTTTTTGTTTGGGCCGAGCAGCTGGAAGAGGTGTTCGCGGAGAGGGAAAGAGGCTACAGGTGGAGCGGTTTGGGGACAGAGGGTCAGGAGCTCAGCCGCGAAGTTTCTGCGGGGAGTCGAGGGGGTCGTCGGCACGTAGAGGATGCTTTGAGCCTGGTGGCTGGAGGAGGTCCCTCAGGGTGCGGCGAAGAGCGGAGGGATCCCAGGCCTGAGCTTGGGAGCACCAGAGGGCGAGGAGGAACCCTCAAAGAGGGACCCAGGCCCCGAGGAGAGGCAGTGAGGGGCGTGGGGGCCCCGCCGTCACCCACCTTGGGGGAGGTCTCCTTGCCAGGCCAGGATGTCCGTGCTCCTCAACTGGGGGGCCGGGTTGAGGGGGGTTTCCCCCTTCTCCGAGCTGTGGGTCCAGCGGTTGGGGTGAAGGTGGCCGTCCTGGGGTGGGCGGGGGACTGCATTCGCTCCATGTCCCGTGCACCAGGCGCTGTGCCGCACACGCGGGGTCTTCTCTGCCCCTTGTAGCTGCAGTGCTGGGGGAAGGTTGTGCCCTGCAGTTTTCAGAAGGTGACATCAGGGCTCAGCGCAGCTGGCGTCCTGCCTGCGTTCAGGGACCTCATAGGTCGCCACACCGGGCCTCAAACTCGAGCATGTCGGTTCCCAGGGGCCGGCCCCAGCGCGTTTCTCAGGCTGTCCAGGAGCTGGTGATCTGGTCGAGAACAGGGATGTGCCGACCTGTGTACTGCGCGGGGTCAGCATCCACAGGAGCCCGTGGGTTAGCTCTGTGGGACGAATCAATGTGACCTGCTGGGGACGATCACGTCCTCTGGGGCTGTACCCGTTGGCCCCCGGAGAAGTGCCAGGATCTGGGCGGAGCCGGTGAGGTCGGGGGGTGGGGGGGGGGGGACTGCTCTGAGCCAGGTCTGAGCCTCCGGGGGCCCGGCCACCCTGTCCCCCATGCTGAGTGCACCAGGCCTCATCCGCCCCAAATGGAGCACACTGGGCACCCCCAGAGCACCGAGGTCTAACACAGTGTCTTCCTGATTTTTCAGACTCGAAGAAGGTAGTGCTGACCTGAGGAAACAGATGTCACGGCTAGAAGAAGAGCTGGACCAGGAGAAGAAAAAGTACACGATGCTAGAAATCAAGCTGAGGAACTCGGAGCGGGCGCGGGAGGACGCGGAGAGGAGGAACCAGCTGCTGCAGAAGGAGATGGAGGAGTTCTTCTCAACCCTGGGGAGCCTGACCGTGGGGACCAGAGCCACCCGAGCCCCCAAGTAAACGGGTGGGAAGCACTCCCTTCCACCGCGTTGCTCGCTGGCCCTCAGTGGGGATGGCCGCCGGCCTCGGAGGAGTCAGCCGCCCCTGCAGCCTGGACCGGGGCCCCGGAGCTCCAGAGCCAGCTGGAGAGATGTCCTGACACCCCAGGGTCCTGCTGGAGGCCTGAGCCCCACACAGGATCCGGGTGTTCCTCTGACAGTGCAGGGCCTGGTGGGGACAGTCCCATGGCCACCAAAACATGGCACCTTGGATCCAAGTAGCCCTCAGGAACGTTTTGCATTCTTTATTAAATTTGCTCTGAAAGCCTGATGCCTGGATGCCTGGCTCCTTTATGGTCATGTGAAATGGGGGTGACCGAGTGACCTCTACTGGTTCTGTCAGGGCTCGGAGTCTGCAAGGTATCCCATGGGTGGAATGGCCTGGGGCCCTCAGAAGTGGGGTATATAGCTCCCCAGCTATGGTCACGGTCACTGGAGCTGGATATATGCAAATCTGTGTGTTCAGCGCTATCATCCCTGTACCCAAGGCAGGACAGTTTTCCTTTCTCCTTCCTTCCCCCCTGAGCCACCCTGGCCTGTGGGGCAGGCCACCTGTTCCGCCATAACCTGTTTTCCTTTACTTGGCCCCAGCTCTGCCCCAGGGCCCAGCAGGATGCTGCCCTCCCTGTCTCTGGGCCCTGCGCGTGTGTCTGAGGGAGAGGTGGTGGGCAGTGCCCACTCTCTGTCCTCCAGCTGTGCCCTTCCCCTTCCAGCCCCCTCGAGCTGGCTGACCCCTCTCCCTTCCAGGCCTGTTCCCCTTCCTCCTCCAGCTCATCCATCGGGGCAGATCCCTCAGGGAAAGGCTTTCCCCGGCCACCACCACACACAGCCCAGGCCTGGGCCAGAGCTCCTCCGGATGGGCCTTAAGGGGCACCAGAGAAGCCACTTCTGAGCAGTGAGGACTGGCCTCTGGGGCACAGGCAATGCCAGCACCAGTGTCCCTTCACTTACTCCTGCTCATAGTGTCCTTCTACCCCGAGTGGTAACCTGCAATAGGTTTTTAGGGAGTGGGGGTCACCAAAGTGCCCCAATTTCTGGCCACTATCTCCGGAGAAGTCATTCAGGCCCAAACACCCATCTCCCTAGAGTCAGGTATAAACTCTTGTGCCAATGCTCTAAGTGCCAGGGTCTCGGTGCTCCCAGGAAGCGCGGGCCCACACACCCCAGCGGACAGGGTCACTCCCACGGTGGCGAGGCAGGCTGACCGATGGCTGGTTGCAGGACGCTGCCAGCCTCACCGGCGAGGAGGCTGGGTGCTTGCCAGGGCCCTCCACAGCCTCAGCAGTCAGACTTCTGCTGAGGGGCTCAGAGGAGGCCGTCAGGGGAGAGCAGCCCCTGAACCTGCTCTCAGGCCCTCTGCCATCACAGTGGGCTGTCTGGGTGACCCGCTTTCCCAGAAGGTAAAATAGTGCCCTCCTGTCTATTCAAGGAGAAAGAGAAAAGAATATGAAGTGACCGATTCCTGACAACAACCCAGTAAGATCGGAATTGGCCCCACACTCCCCATTCAGAGGAGAAACTGAGGCTAGGAGAGGCCAGGTGGGAACATCAGTGTATTCTATGTCCTGAGCTCCCTCCCCACAGCCCTGGAATTCTGCCGATTTTGACCTGGAGAGAAGATGCCACCAGGCTAGGAAAGGAGCAAAAGAGACCAAAGTGGTTTCGAGTGATGGAAGTGAGGTCGTCCGTCCTCTCTCAGCCAGGAATATGGGCTCAGCTTCCAGCGACGTCTTTGGCCAAAGCCCGCTCATGGGCCTCCTCTGCCACCTGCTGGCAAAACCAGGATCTGCAAGTGCCCTTTTTCTCTGAAAATGAGTCGGCGACGTTCAGCATAAGTCCTGTCAGATTTCGGTTTAAGCCGCGCCCTCCATCCGCCTGTGAGGCAGCTGAGCACCGAGGCTGGCGGCTCCGGCCCCGCACCCGTCCCGTCCGCTTGGGGTCTCTCCCGCTGAGTCGCATTCACGGAACCAGTTCCCGAACCCGAGGATTCAAGTTGTACCTCTTATTGTAATGACCTCATTTAATGGGAAATAAACCAATGAATTGTGAATGTGAAAAGTCAGGGAATGAGTTTTTCAAAAACCTAACCAAATGCTCTAGAAAGACTCAGGAAAGGCAAGTTGCTAAAAATATCTGTCAAGCGATGGATGAAAGAACCGTGCAGTAGTGGGAAATGGGTAAAAATCTAAGATTCTGCTCTCAGAGTACTTCCGAAGTGTTTTCTGTGTTCCCCGGCCCGTGGGTCACAAATGGAGACGGTAACGACCACGTGTTTCACAGACTCCCACTCCTTTTGACGCAGGGCCCCAGGCCCTGGGGCGTCCCCGCAGGGTCCTCCGTAGTTGTGTCACGAAGGGGCGGGGTCCTGGCTGTACAAGCTCACAGCTGAGCAGCTCGGCCCCCCACCGCTGCTGCCGCCTTTCCAGACTCCGGGATCCACCAAGAGCCACCGCCTCCCCCAGGACCCGCTGACCCGCCTGCCGGGCACATAGCTGCTGCCTCCGCGCCGGCCACGCCCTGCGACAGCTGGGCCCACGAGGTGCCGGAATTGCATTGTCTGTGGGAACGCAGTGGGAGAAAGCCGCGGAGAGCTTTGTGCATAGAGCCAGGAGCTTGGGCTCGCTCCGCCCTGGTTGTCAGACCCTGGGGTGTGCAGCTCTGTGGGCCCCAGGTCCCCCGCGTCTGGAGTGGGGACAGCCTCACAGACGGTGGTGGTACCCGCGGGTCTCAGCGCCCCGCGTGTTTGTCTCACGTAGCCCTCAGGGTGCAGGGCGCCTTGTTCTGCACTTTGCAGCCGAGCACTTGGAATTGCAGAGAAGTTAAGGACCTGGTCACAGCATACACAAGTCAGGGGAGGCGTCAGGTTGCCATCACTGAATATTACTTAGGGCATCTTAATTTCGGAGCCTGTATTCTTAACTATTAGTCCTCGTTGGAAAGACGCTGGTTTGCTACTTTTGAAACATTGCCCCAGTCATGCTTTAATGGAGGTTATGCACAGGGTGCAAAATGAGTGTAAAAGGGAACTCGAAGTCAGCAGAGGGCAGGGCTCCGGGAAGGCTCCTGGCTAGATGGTAACACCTAAACTCAGTTTCATATGCTGATGTGTGTAGCTACAGCAAGAGGGGGGTGTGTGTGTGTGTGAGAGAGAGAGAGAGAGAGAGAGGAGATGGAGGCCAGAGGAGGCAAGGACCCAGTCGTGGAGGGCGGAATATGCTCTTAACCTTTATGCTTTTGGACAGGGTTTCCCCACCTCATGTTATGTCCACTGTCCACATTCACAGCTCTCCATTCATATGACGATAGAGGAAACAGGACCATAGTCATGGCTTGTACAGAATGCACATTCTAGTGGAGTGAAAGAGACCATAAAGAAGTGTTAAGACAACAGGCCCAAAACAGAGTTGCTTATGCTAAACCCCATGTCACCAAACTGAGGCTTCATTACGGTTTCTGCTCTAATTCTCCCAGAAATGGAATCTTGCACCAGTCAGTGAGGAGTCACCTCACTGGAGGAGTCAGCATGAGTCAAGTGCAGGCCCGCCTCGGAGAAACTGCATTCGGTTCCAGACCACAGCAATAAAGAGCACATCGCAAGAAAGCAAACCACCCCAAATTTTTGATTTCCCAGTGTGTATAAAAGCTATGTTTAGACTATATTGTAGTCTATTAAGTAGGCAATAGCATTCTGTCTAAAAAAACAATGTCCATACCTTAATTAAAAAATACATTATTGCTAAAACATGCTAACCATCATCTGGGCCTGCAGCAAGTCATCATCTTTTGCTGGTGGAGGGTCTTGCCTCGATGTTGGTGGCTGCTGACTGATCAGGGTGTGGTTGCTGAAGGCTGGGGTGGCTGTGGCAAGTTCTAAAATAACAACAATGAAGTTCACAGCATCATGACTCTTCCTTTCATGAACGATTTCTCTGTAACATGCAATGCTGTTTGATGGCATTTCACCCACAGTAGAATTTCCTTCAAAATTGGAGTCAGTCCTCTCACACCCTGCTGCTGCTTTATCAACTAAGTTTATGTCATATTCTAAATCCTGTGTTGTCATTTCAACAATCGTCACAGCATCTTCACCAGTAAAGTCCATCCCAAGAAACCCCTTTCTTTGCTCCTCCATAAGAAGCAACTCCTCATTCATTCAAGTTTTATCATGAGATGGCAGCAACTCAGTCACATCTTCAGGCTCCACTTCTAAATCTAGTTCTCTTGCTGTTTCCACCACATCTGCAGTTTCCCTCCACTGAAGTCTTGAACCCCTTCAAGTCATCCATGAGGGATGGAATCAACTTCTTCCAAACTCCTGTCAATGTTGGTATTTTGACCTCTTCCCATGAATCACGAATATTCTTAATGGCATCTAGAATGGTGAATCCTTTCTAGAGGTTTTCAATTGACTTTGCCCAGATCCATCAGAGGAATCACTATCTATGGCAGTTATAGCCTTACAAAACATATTTCTTAAATCATAAGACTTGAAAGTTGAAATTACTCCTTGATCCATGGGCTGCGGAGTGGATGTTGTGTTAGCGGGCATGAAAACAACGTTAACCTCGTACATCTCCATCAGAGTTCCTCGGTGACCAGGTGGTACGTTGATGAGCAGTAATATTTGGAAAGGAGTCTTTTCTCTGAGCAGTAGGTCTCAACAGTGGGCTTCAAATATTCAGTAAACCATGTAGACAGATGTGCTGTCATCCAGGCTTTGTGGTTCCATTTATGAAGGACAGGCAGAGGAGATTTAGCGTAATTCTTAAGGGCCCTAGGATTTTCAGAATGGTAAGTGAGCACTGGCTTCAACTGAAAGTCACCAGCTGCATTAGCCCCTAACCAGAGAGTCAGCCTGTCCTTTGAAGTTTGAAGCCAGGCACCGACTTCTCTCTAGCTATGAAAGTCCTAGATGGCATCTTCCGATAGAACGCTGTTTCATCTGCGTTGGAAGTCTGTTGTTCAGTGCAGCCCCTTCATTACCATCTCAGCTGGAGCTTCTGGAGAACTTGCCGCAGCCTCTGCATCAGCACCTGCTGCTTCACCTGCACTTTTATGCTGTGGAGACGCTTCTTTCCTTAAACCACGTGAGCCGACCTCTGCTGGCTTCAGGCTTCTCTTCTGCAGCTTCCTCCCCTCTCTCAGCCTTCACAGAATTTAGGAGAGTGAGGGCCTGGCTCGGGATTAGGCTTTGGCTTAAGGGAATGTGGTTGCTGGTTTGATCGTCAGTCCAGACCACTACAACTGTCTCCCTATCACCAATGAGGCTGT